TAGGTAGGGGGATGCTACCTATTTGGTAGGTATGTCGTGCAGCAACGACGAGAAGAGAGCATGTGACTGTGGCGGCATTCGAGGGCATGTCAACGCTGACATTGTATTACGAACTATATTGGGTCACGGATATTGGCTGGATGTTGACTGGATGTTGACTGGATATAACTTCTCGTTTATCTACCAAGAAGCTAGATGAGCACTCAGATTTTGCCAGTAATGGCAAAAGCGAAAACCCCATGTCCTACGTGCATATTGGAGAATGCTGTGTCAGGTTGGACAGCATACCTTAGTGAGCTTTTAGCCTGGCCTGAGGTTATATCACCATCGCCGCCGTCGCCGCCGTAGTAACGTAAGTTCAAAGGACCATAACCTTACCTACATGTAGGTTAGTATTTATTGATTCAAAAGGGGTAGTGCTTAATTTCTATCAAAGCTCCGGTTAGCACCACGTGGGAAGTTCTCTCCCAGAGTCTCCCTCAACCTCAAAGGAAATTTTCCTCTCAAAGGAAAAATGTTGGATTTCCAAACTAGGAATGAGAATGGAATTAGGAATATTAACAAGGGCCCCAATGGCATAATTGACCAGGGTAACCTATTCATGGTATTAATGCCTGTTGTCGATCACCGGCTCTTCTTTATTATTACTAGGCACTGTGTTCTTGTCGGGGACATCGGAAAGCCGCATCCAGCCAGAGCTGAGAAGCGTACATAGTAGGATATCGTCGCTCTCGATCACGGCCCATTCCACCCATTCCACCCATTCCAAACGCTACTGAAGCTATTCTGAATTTTCAAGCTGTAATTTTGTTCCAAAGGTTAGCCTTGGTGTTTTAATTTTGGAGCTTTGATCAATCTTACGAGGGATTGTGAGGCAAAATTCGCGATGCATCGGTACCTAGTAGTAATAGGTAAAGCTCGGGGCAAAGCTCGTATATTCATTCGCATCGGCCGCTTGCCAAATATCACGCTCTTTCTCTCCATCATCTGCTTCAAACAAATGAGACAAAAACTCAGCGAACAGACATATGGCCCATAAAGCTCATGCAATACCACTGTGATGCGGCCGTTGTTGGAAAGTATCTCCTACCTTGGCATCCCGTACAATAATCCATTCATGTGAAGATGAAGATCTGAAGATCTTGAACAAGGCCTTCAGACCCGATCCTCGTCGTTTGACCCTAACCTTCGCAGGTCTGGTCAAGGCCTCACGAACATCGATCGAACTTTTAGCTGACAGATCGATCATCTAACAAAGATTCCCAGTTTTACCAAGACGCTACACCCCCCCTACCTGCCTACCTGACTCCTAGTAAACCCGCCTAAAATACGTGATGAGCCACTAACACTAAGACATCGAGCGGACCATTGTCACGCCAAACGCAACCAGTCCCGATTCAGCCTCTAGTCTCACGCAACAAACGATTCCGTGCGCTTTTCACGATACAAGTGAAAAGATTAGTTGGTTGAGACTACGTAGTTGTGTGGCATCCTTAGTATCGGTAATACCGATGACGATGCACCGAAACGGGAGGATAAAGAGCGAGAAAAGTCTCGTCACGTTTTTTGTTCGTAAATATTTTTGCATAAAATTTTCTGGCTCTCCCGAGAAACGGAACTTCATTCGATCAGGTCGAACCGTGGGCAAATACTTACACCGGTTGGGTGTCGGTCGGCCAATAAATCAGCTGTGTGCAATGACTATTGGGAAAGCCCGTCATCATGTCTGCTCAATGATGATGTCAAGCGGTTGAACTGCGCCACAACAGCCTATCGACACATCGCACGGTGTCATACTCATCCTGATTCGCTCGTGGTTTCTTGAAAAGATCCTTCTTGAGACGGCCGTTCCATGGATGGCAATAACCCCCCCGGACTCAAGCCTTCCCCTTCCCCCCTCCAAGATTGTGGTAAGATTGTGTTCCGTGATCTCCTTGGCAGATCGCGGGCGTGCAACCATGGTCCGGATACACTGCTCCGGCTTCTTCGGCTTCATCGCAATCGCGGGGGTGGGATTCTGCCCCTTGATTCGTTAGCTGCTCAGCGCCATAAGGCTTTGCTGACACTATATAAGTAAGCACCTCGCGGCTCACGACAGGTCCCTTCCGCAGAGGATCCAAGCCAGGTGACCATTTCCTTCAATATATACTTAGCTACCTGGTTTAATAGGTAAGGTGCGTGGTTTCAAGAATGGCGGTGAGCCCGAGGAGCCGGGTCAAGGTCAAGGTCAAGGACAAGGACGAAGGACACCTTAAGTCCTTCAGCCCTTCACCTTGGGTTTCCCCTTCCCGTGGACTTCCCCGGACTATTTACTCTGAACCCTGGCGACACCATACATAACCTACGTATGTATGTGTATGTATGTCTTCCTCCTCTCTGCAGTCTTTGAATTCTGCAAATAGGGAATCAGTACGTCTCTCATGCCTAAAAAGAACAGTCGATCCCCAGGAACCTAAGGCTTCGTTGCAGGTGGGTCTGGGGTAATGACACGCGTATGTTGCGGATAGGACACGCCCTCCTGCTTGCCCTGTAGCTATGGGTTGGGCCTGATCATGCAAAATACTGAAGAATGAAAATAGTTACGCAATATTGTTGCCTAGTCTTATTGGCATGCCGACGATGTACCCAATTGAAGTTTCGATATCCTTCTAGTCTTTTACTCAACAAAGTGAAATGAATAATAAATTGCCCCAGGGCTCCTGGCTCCTGGCTCCTGGCCCCTTTGGCGTGTGAGCAAGCGAGCAAAAGAGGTCCACGATATCGTGGCCTAACGGCGATGATAGTAATAACTGGGATTTAATAAGTTAGGTGCTGACAGGAAAGAGGAGCCTCTTGGACGAAGGAATGAGGAGAATGGGGAGAATTTTGAATCCCGTCGACAAATCGCAGAGGCACGACCAGTGTGGCACTAAACCTATTTGCCCTCGTTGAGAGATAAAATCCCTTCAAGCAGGCCGATTGCTCGTATTTCGCCCGCCGATACGTTGTGGTCTGATTGGGAGAGGCAATAATAATATCGTGGGCCTATATCTAGGATCCGTTACCCTGATTCGAATATCAAAAATTGTTGTCCGCTCCACCTCCGTGCTGCGGACACTCCCTCATTTCACATCGGCGCCTTGCCTTAGCCTAATGTCCCCCCAACGCACGCTGAGAGAATTTTTTTCTTCTTTATTTCACTCAGATCCGCAATGGCTTCTCTTTCTGCATTGCGGATTCGCGAAGCCGGCTAGATTTTCTGATGGTAAAGGTGGCCGTACACCATTGGCACAACTCGCCGTGGGTTTTCGTTAGGCTTGCAGAAAAGAGGGGCTCGTCTAGATTCCCGTGCGGCCCAGTCGATTTCATACTGGTACGATTTTTTTCCGATTTAATTGTCACCAGGTTATGCCGAGTGTTTACTGCTTTGCATCGGCTCGTTCAGGTAAATAAGAGAGCTGCGTTGATTCGTTAACGTGCCTGAGGAGGTAGGTGGGTGGGCGGGCAGGCAATCGTGAGAAATGTATTCGATCATTTGCCTATGCTCGAGTTCACGAGATTCCATCGTAAGTTTCAGCGACATTTCCGCTGAATATATCATGGTTGCAGCGAGGGTCATGTGTACAATAGTCAGGTCAGCAGTGTTCAGATTGTGGCTCTTCATGGGCTGGCAGTTGTAAGCAATTTACCAAGTTATAAACATCTTTGGGAGCTCTGTCACAATGTGGCAAGGTAAGTCTAGCTCATTGACTCTAAAGATATGTCCTGCCAGTCAGACCGATCTCTAGACCTTCTATATAGCAACAACCCCCTTGTTTGAGTAGGAAATCGTAATGGGGGTGGGCATATACACAATATCATGACTCGATCGGAGAGATCGGAGCGTATCTGTAAATCATGAGCCTCGCTTTTGGAACAACCAACAAGTTGAATTTACGAGTGCCAATCATAGCTTGCAACCAAGTGATGAACCTGCCAAAGAACGGCATTCAAAACTAGACTATTCTGTTGTGTGGGTGGGCTTTGTGAGGAAAGGGGAACTACATGTCTAGGTGGTTATATATATTTCTCTAGTAGTTCCCAGACTTATGTTATTAATGAGAAAGCAGTTCTTTTCATCTGTCTAGAAGTGAACCTTGCGATTGCCTCGACGCTCATATTTATCTGCTATGTTAGTAGGACTAGAAACAACAGCAACTCTTTGGCGATCCCTGTTCTGAGAATTAGAGAGATTGAAGGCCATGGGAACTATTTGGGAGACAAGTTGTAGTTCGACCTTCGTGATTTTCTTCACCTAATACCTACCTAGTATCTGATGAACCCATATCAACTACCTAACTCTGAGGCTCGTAGTTAACATGATCACCAAGTCGTTAGGCTCATGGCATATATTTGAATATATGCAGACCGAGTGTCTTAGAGTGAAAACACTTTATTCATTCAAGGAAGATAAAATTATGGTACTTCTAATGTACTGAAATGAGTAGCCAGGGAACTAACTGCCATTAGGGATATATAGTACGTGGTGTCACGGGGAACATACCTAGGCAAGCGTGTATATAATCCAGGCTGGCATGCCTTATAGCTCATACTATGTACAACTCTAGCCAGCTTTGTCGATGTATAGCAATGATGAAAAGCCCAGAGGCACGTTAGCGATGATATATGGATCCTGGCTTGATAGATAAAGGGGTTCTTACATAAAGAGGATAGCGATGCCAAAAGTAGCATAATCACTCACAAGACGAATGTCAAAAGACAAAATGGTTGGTTAGTTAGTTAGGTAGTTAATACTTAATATTTCAAGATCCATATCGGTTGCATACCTAGAAATTTCATAGATGTAGGTTTGAGATGCTATCATCACGTCCTGCTAGGGTTCAAAGCTATAAGCGGCGGTGAGGTACGAGACTGCTATGCTAGATTACACTATGCTGTGGATGGAGAAGACCGCTGACATGTGAACCCAGACATCGAAAACTACCTAGTGTGCAAATCAGCCCTTCAGGTTTGATGGACAACTAGCGTTGTAGCCTTGGGTCAGCATGTTCATATCGGTTTCTGTTTATGTCCTGTATTTGCGTGTCTGCGTCATAAATCAGGCGTTGCAAGAATTCTTTGATGGCTTCATCGGTCTCGTTTTCCCTTTGGTGAAACTCGAATGTGCCAGGACCTCTCTTACTTTCTGCTTCAGTAAAGGCGAGCACTCGTCGTAAACCCGGCCGGGCCCGTGGATCTGTGGCTAAACATCTGGCTAGGAAGTCCCTGAGTCTATTGTCAAGCATTGGGTAGTTAATCCCCCTTCCAGTAGGTAATATCTCAGTCGCTCTAGTGGCCTGGTTGCGGTACGTAGACACCTTGTCGACAGGTGGTTGCTTTTGTTTCGTTATGAGAGCCATCATTAACTAAGAGTAGGACATTAGCTTCTCGATTTATCAGAATCATACGTCTTCTATTACTTACTATTGAAATTTCTTCCAAGTTTCTGCGCACACCACCACCAAGATCCCGGCTTTCTTCAGCTGATCCTATGTCAATGAGCTTGACTGGAGGGATAAGATCATGCTCTTTGAACCCGCCTGGGTTTCCGAACATGACATTTCCGACATGAAGAGATCCGTGGAAGAGATCACCTGGCTCTTCTCCATCATCTGGAATAGTCTCTAACCGGTTCGCAGCCCCTATTTGACCTCTTATAGGGTGTGCAAGCGCCACGCATGATCTCGCCACTTTTTTGTTATTAGTATATAGGTAACTCAGTCTCAACTTGACCTCCTCGAGAAATATCGCTTTACTTACAGCAAAGAAAAATAGAGAAGAGTAGGCGGTTTGGAAGGTACGCGTTGTAAAATATCATTCGATCGATCAACCTCCCCAACGTTCCATTTTCGAGATACTCGAGTATCACAACAGGCCAGCCTGCCAATTTAGATAACTGCATGTCGCTGTCGATTCTTCGAGGATCGTCATATCGGAGAATTCTTCTAGGAGGGGAGCTTGGATTGAAAATATCCCTTAATGCCAAAGCCAGCTTCCGGAGTCGTGAAACTCTAGGCGTGGGCGCGATTTCATGAGGTAGAGGAGCAGGAGGATCATCGCGAGCGCCAATCATGGAAACAATATGTTCGGACCCACGAGTTGCCTATATTTTCATAATCGTCAGCGGGTTACAACTTTAGTCAAGGGGACTGTGGTGTGAATACTGTATATTGGATGATTTCATTTCTGAGTTCATCTTCACCACGATTGGTTAGAGCTCTCTTCAAGACTAGTCTACGAGGAGGACGCAATAAACTTTCAGTTCTACTGACAAGAACCACGCAGCCGAAGTAACCGTAGCTTATCATCCTCTCGAATTTCCATGGCCCGTTCACCCTTCCAAAATGTCTCTGCATCTCTCCCACATTCCGTCGTGCCTCCTCGGACAATCTGCTTAAGTATCTTTGGTTTCCTATCAGCACCTTCGAGCGACGGTCGGCGAAAACCCATTCCCAATAGCCTTGGGACAGATCATCACATCTTCTTCTTTGTCCGCGTGTTGCCATCAGGATAATATTATAGAATAATCTAACCTAGTTGACTCCGAAGAAGAGTAATTGGTAGCTAAGTATTTTAAGTTGTAAATTATACCTACCTAGTTATACTGATATAATTCTAATGCCCCCTGAACAGGCTTCTTTCTTCACATAAACCTGGTAGAGAGCCTAGAGCTGATAGCTATAGATGATGTGGAGAATAAAGGTCTTTACGATGTGCAAACCTGATTGTGTTCCAGGCACGGCTGAGCAAATAAGACAAAGAAGCATTACCTAGAGTATCATGAGAGTGTTTAACTCGAATCTGCCTATGCCTGTCTAGATTTCATAAATAAAGACACTAAGACTTCTAACGGTAGAGATTGTTTCGTCGTTTCGTACCTAATAGCCAAATTTCTTTCTGAACATTGCCATTATCTAACAGCCCAACAAAGCATTCTTATGAACGAACATGAAAAGAATACGAGCATCTATATCTACATATGGGAGGTATAGCTATTGTGAATGATATAGGATGGGATTTCGTCAACATGAAGGATATAATAACAGTACAGAGTAGCCTAGGTTAGGTACCTAGTGTCCCTTAATACTAAAATTGCCACTCCTGTAAAGCCCCCAAGTTCTGTTATGGCTACCTAGTGACTGACATACGGACTAGTAACACAAATACTCTACAACAATTAGAGTCCTTCTACGAGCACACACAGGATTTCAACATACACCTACATGTAATGGATGAAATACCGAGTACCTGGGTAAATGTCTCATACGTTTAAGGGGCAATCATCGTGTTAAATCACGCCGTTAATAGACTGTCGATTGATTGAATTGACCTCTTCACTTCCTGTAACTTGATATATGAGTTGAGATTGATGGCAATATTGATCCTACAAGATGTAGGCTCGAACCATTGTACTGCCGCTACCGGGGGTGGAAGTCTCCACGCCTCTCTTGCTTCGCCATCACCTACTCATATCGTAAACCATTTCGGGTTTTCCACGTCGTTTTAAAGATGCTAGTTACGACATATGAAGGATTCTCGACGAGGGCAGGTCTGGTTATCCAGGTTTGGCCTCCAGGAGTCCATCAGCCTCTTCGTCATTCCTCAGCGCAGCATGTCCGGAATGCTAGCCAATCAGAGGCCTGATGTGAGCCAAAATAGGAGTGGTCTCAACTCCCACGGGGGCAACCCAAGCTACATTGAAGTTTACTTTGAAATAATTACCTCCTTTGAGGCTATCGTGAGTTTTTGACGCACATGACCAATTCAGCAGGGTGTATACTAGGTACGTATGGAATGATACTCCGGCAATCTAGTTCCGACAAGTGTGATGAGGGAAACAGACTATTCCAAGGTTGGCAACAGATGGGGGACTTGGAGGAGTTCAAGTTGAAGGCTAATGTGGCATTTGAGCTTGTAGATAAGTAATAGAAAAAGAATCATCCGGGATGTCCCACGGGAATCTTTACGGCGTATATGTAGGTAGTACTAGCAGTAAGTTAATAAGTTAGTTAAAAGTTAGTTACATATGTGAAGATGTGATGGGTACCTTGCATGATACCCCCACTAATTTGTACGCCAAACACGGGAACTACTAGGTACTAACTACACTACAGTACATTAATACCGGGGGTGACCTCTATTCCAGCCCCCCAGATTCTTTGAGTGCACTGCTGCATTGTAAGCGAAAGCTTCAATGTTCCCATCTCGAATTTAAACTTGGAACATTCCTACATAGTAGCACTACGATCTACATACATTTGCGCCATTCTCTATTGCCACGCAAGTTTCCAACATTCCCTTCTCACAATCTCTCTTTTTTTTTTTCTTGCGCCTTCTAATTGTCATCTGATCGCATACCTTCATTCAGAACACCGTTTCTGTCCGATTAGCTACAGCAACGATTCACCTTCGTTACAGCTTCATTAAGCAGGCCCAGCTCTTGGCTACCTAGTAGTACCTAGTACATACTAAGCGCCAACCCAAACATTCATTCGTTATCATGTCAGAAGAAATCGCAGCGTCCGTTGAAGAGCTGCGTTCTAACACCGGCGCCGATGTCGAGATGGCGGAAGGTGGTGAGGCCGAGGGAAGTACTGCTGGAAACGAAGGTGGCGATTTGCCATTTGCTGAGGGTGGTGATGTTGCTCCACGCATAAGTTATGTTACCTATTTAACAAGCCCGATCGTGACCTTGGTCGTCGGCAGTGGTGAGTCGGAAACTATACTCACTGCCCATCAAGCCCTTCTTGCCCAGAGCCCGTTCTTCGCCGATGCTTGCGCCGCCTTCACTGATGATGGAAGCGTACGTTCTGCCAAATTCTCCATAAGATGTCCACTGCTGTTGTATGACGGAAAACCTCTAACTCTCGTTCACGTAGCCACGACAAATCGACCTATCATCTGAAGAAATAGATCCAATCGGCTGCTTCCTTGAATTCCTCTACACGGGCGACTATTTCCCCAAGAAACTACCTGGCCAGCGAATACTAGAACCCGATCTGACCTTACCCGCCGTCGACGAGTCCGGAGAGCAGCTTCTCAAGCATGCACGAGTCTATACCATAGCCGAGAAGTTTGGGATAGAGAAGCTGAAGAGCCTCGCGAGCAGCAAGATACACTGCGTCAATTCGACTGCCAAGGGCGAAATCACATACGCCCGCTACATCTACCAATACACCAACGCAGACGATATAAACGTCCGCGCTCCTGTGGCCAACTTCTGGGCCACCCGCAGTCATACCCTGCGCGCAGAGGCGGAGGCCGAGTTCCGCTCATTGTGCTTGGAATTTCCTCAGTTCGGATACGATGTGCTCAGTACGTTTACCCACCTAAGTGCCTACATACTTAGAAATGTGCTGTGTAGTCGATGAATGGCTCTTACTAACTATTTTCTAGCTCGTGTGTTGGACGAGAAGCTCAAGCGAGAGCGTAACGAGAAATTGCATCCGGCGCAAGGTAGTGGCCGTAAGCGGCCTCGTTTTAGCAACGTAGCCGTATAATGCGATACTCGCTCATGATTCTTATTCGCCATCATTCCCTCCGGCCAAGACAGCACCCAGTATATTGCTTGCCTATCCCAGGTATATTTAGAAGTCATAGTTGCTTCTGGGGCCCGACTAAATCATACCTGCCGACCCACCGCCGTTGTACTATAATCATCATCACTACCCGCCATTTGGGGGGTTAGGGATTGAATATTGGGCTTTGCAGTCTGCGACACATATCCTCAGGTACCTGAAAATGGCGCCTCGAACAGGATACCACCTTTGGGAACTACGTAAGGTATGTAGATGGAAAGGGGTACATAGGTGTGCTCTGTATTATAGTGAACACAAAAGTTCTTTCAACAGGGACGAATCAATCTATGCATCCCAGTGATAAAAATCGAGAGGAATCATTACAAGAGCAAGAATAGTTTCTCGAGTTGGAATACTTGCAATGTTTCTAGAATGATTCTCGCGAGTAAGGGCTTCCCGCTACGGTAGTAGTAATAGCCCCGGGTTCACTTTTAGCAAGCGCCTACTTACCTACCTTGGTAGGTCGATACTGAAAGGGGCTAATAAGACCTGGAGGGCTACGAAGCTGGGCATATGAAAATCCCATCGATGGGATGTATAGATGTCAGGGGTGGTGCAGTATATCATGATGCGGCAACTATACCTGCATAGGTAGGTAGGTAGGTACACATAGGTAAGTATTAATGTGCTAAAAACTACTTTCACTGTCTGTGCCTTCAAAAAACCAATAAACAAATCCAATTCTTTTTTTTTGTCGCTACAAAAATGCAAATGGTATATAATAGGCAGTAATATGCTAAATCCCGAGTACAGTATCGACGCCTTGCTGATGATATTACTTCCTTGCTTTACTTCTCCACCGTGGTAGCATTCCATTCAGACACATAGATGATTAAAGTCCCTCTCTCTCCTTCCTTCCCTTCGGACCCTTAAATAAGCAGAGCCCCAAAAGCCGTAGCCGAGAAGAGAATCGCGCCGAGCGTGACCCCCAGCGTCGTGACGCTGTTGTACTCCGGCCTCAGGCCCGCCGCGGCGCCCGGCGCATCCGTCGAGGTCGAGGTCGAGTCGCCGCTGCCCGTCGACGAAGCGCCGCTTGCGCCCTTCCCGGTGGCGATGACGCTGGCCTGCGCGGAGGTGGGCACGTCGTGGCCGGTGGCAGTGGCGCTCGCGTTGGTGTCGGGGCCGGAGCAGAAGACGGCCTGCCACGGCGCGCCCTTGGCAAACATGCAGTCGACCAGCTGGTTCACCGTCTGCCCCTGCGCGAGGCAGTACAGCCCGCAGTCGTCGTAGTACGAGATCACGTCGGCGTCGCCGCAGCACGCCGTCATGATGTCCGTGTGGTTGCTGCCGTACGGCATCGCGCACGCGGCGTCCGCGGTCGGCAGCTCGTAGAGCCGCGCGCAGGCGGTCGGGTTGGCGGCGCCGACGCTCGCGCTGGTGGCGGTGGCGGCGGCGGTGGTGGTGGCGGCGTCAGACATTTTTTGGGGGTTGTTTGGTGTATTAGGAAGGGATGTAGGTAGTTACTGTAGATAGGTACGTTTGATATGGATGGAAGGCTGGGCTGTGTTTGTCTGCTTTGCTTTGGGGGTGGCGAGTCTGCTGGTGAGAAGAAAGAAAAATAGAAAAAAAAAACCCCCTTTCCCCCCAATTTACCTGCCGGTGTGGCTTTTTATCATCACGAACACGTCCATTGATCACCCTATGTCGATGATTTGTTGTCCGACGGCGTGGGTGTGGGCTGAGCCACGTTCGCGATCTCGTATTTGGCGGTGGGAGCAAATAAGGTGGTCCGTTGACACCGGGGAGGCTATTGGACGACCGGGCAACGACGTCGCGCACAGGTCAGAGAGCAGTCCGCCCTCATTTCCAATGCCGGTAATTAGCGCCTATGGAAGCGTTGCTGGAAAGCTTGGCAGCTTGGGGATGCCCAGAACTGTTCTAGCTCGTTGAGGTTTCGAGATTATTCTGCGGTTTGCTCATATCAATTTTTACGAGGCACAGATGCAAAATATAAAATGCCCGGGTATCAAAAGAAATGGTTGCCGCAAAAAGCAACGTTGAAGCTCTTTGGGGTCAAGCGTTCGTCGTTACATGCCCAGGTGTAAAGGATTCAGGTTACATCCAATGTGCGTGTGGAATTCCTCCAGAACGATATTCTGTTGCCTATGTTGCCTACCTCATGTATAATGGATGGATTTATTACTATGTAATGTCGTAAATACCTGACCTAGGCAGTCACTTTAAATACTCGGTTGATAACTCTCTCCGTCGAATGAATGCCTTGCTATTTCATCTTCTACCTAATGGTTGACCCGACTTCCGAAGGAGTTGCCCCTTAATCATGGGCATGGTAGCACAACATCACGTCGCTGCGGCTATCCACCTATTGGGGAAGTTGTAAATTTCTGTTTTTAGGATCACGCGATTGAACTGTTGTCAGCCCAGACCACAGGTTGTACTTTTACATGAGCATTGGGTCTAACATACATATATCACCGTGCTTAATGGTGTGGGGATGGAGCCAGTCGCGGTCTATCGGCTCAGGGGTAGAAAGGACCAAGTCGTTTTCAGCTGTTCGGCCCCCATGCAACCCCCTGCAGCCTTACATTGAGGGGAAAACCAGTAGGTGTTTAGAGATAGGCACTTGCTGGCCGCGTTAACTGCTACATGTTCCTCGATGCTATTAACGATTGGGTAGACTGAAGCTGAAGCTACCTATCTGTCTACTTAGATTAATCTGACGGCATACCTAGGCATGTACGAGATCCTTTGACTTAATCAACACATCTGGGCCTTCAATGATCTTATTTCCATTTGCAGTATTGTTAGGTTGTGTTATACCTGTACATACATTGCTGGGCACCTAGAGCTTGGTTTGTTACCTAAAGATGTCCGTATGGCAAGATGACTTCCTCGGGCCGTGGTATGAAGGTATCTGGAAAGGTACATAACAGTAAGCACGGCCCGTAAGCCTCGAAGCCCAGCGGTGTACACACGTGCAAAGCCGGAGTCATTCATTGTGCTACCTCAGAATCGTTACACCTAGGTATACTACCTATATAGATCACATAAGCACACCTGGGCATACAGTAGCTCACCATGAGAAGCCTTTAAAGTCTCTAGGTTGCCATTGCCCCCCCCACTGCGCCTCACATACCATTAAGCGAGACGATACCATATAGATGAAGCGATGCTATCTGATACAAGCTATATCAAGCTGACATAACTGGCTATCCTTGGAATAGTTTAAATGTACGACTTGAGATTCGTCATGCGGTACTTCGTCTGCCGTAGGCAGATGATATCGCGTGGACTTACTGCCCTACACGACGAAAGCCAGGGGGGCAGCGTTGCATGCAGCACGCCTAGTGTACTCGTGGTGACAGAAGGACCGTTCTAGCTTTGGAGAAGTCGGCCATTGGTTTCTTCCAGCTCGACTATTTTTGTTTTCTTGGTTCTCCGACCGGAATTAATCCCAATTCCGAATATGACGATTCCTAATACCTCTCCTGGGCCGTATATACTACATGTACCTGAAGGATGACTGCCTGACTGCCTATACGTGCGGTCTTCAAATGGCTTTGCCATAAATAAACTCCAGTTTCACAAGATTATTTCCTTATAAACGATAGCTCCAGCTTCATCTGAGGGTTGCAAGTAAGCGTCGTCAACATCATACATATCACTCGCTTTCCTACTTTGGCGGAGGTTTCCGACTCCGGCCAATCCTGTATCGGCATCTTTCCGCCACTTTTGAGAATAAGCAACTCCAATACCTACCTCGGTAGTGTCGCGCAAACATGGTTGGAGTAGCTGGGAGAAGCAAAGGTTGTAATACATGCCGGAAAAGAAGAGTAAAATGTGGTATGCACAACTCCCCCGTCCAATGAGACCTTTTACCTAGTTCGTTTCATTAGCCACATTATTGACTTCCATACATCAGACGAAGCGAAGCCGCGATGCTATCGCTGTCTCAAGGCGGGCTTTGAGTGCCTGGGCTATGAAAGAGTCACTCAATGGCGGCACACTTCCATAGCACCCCTTAAACAAAATTGCTGGAAATCAGAACCCGTCAAGTTTATTCCTTTTAGGCACATACCAGCTCCGGAACTCAGTCTAGTTGCCTTCAAAGCAAATATCTGCACTGCCCACATGTTCAACAACTGTTACAGGTGCCTTAGGCATCCTTAGCTATATGGCCCTTATGGCCATATATATTGGCACTCCGCCATCCATAGTTTGGGAATAAAGCAAGCTTTCTTCCTTTTCTTTTTCTTTTTCTTGGTTACAGTTATACTACAACAGATTATAAGCTCCGTGCCGCTTAAAAAGTGCCGATTTGATACCAAAAAACATCAAATAATTAAAGAAAATATTATCCCCTCGAGACCCAACACCGGGCTTTTTAGCGCCCCCCACTAAAACCTCACACGGGCCAGGCTCGCTACCAGCTTTTTACTATCGACTATGTACCGGTTCAAATAATAAGCGCGTTTTTACGTGTAGCAACAACGTGTAATACTTAATTTTTTACTCTCGTTTATATTAATCCTTTAACGTTCGAGAAACTTAATATAAAAAAATTAAGGCTAAATTTCATCAACGATAATACCGACGGCGATAAGTTTAACGATAACGATATAACATATAAATTAGCGATATATAAATTATTAATTTATTTAAAATATTAGGTAGTTTTTTATATAAAAGGTAATTATTAATAAAAGTAGCATATATATATATATGCTTTATATTAAAAAAAGACGCGTATAAATATTAAAAGTTTAATTGATTTTTCTTAGAAATAATGTATAAAATGTTCAAAATAAGCTTAAATAAATATATAAAGAGTAGGTCTAAGCTCTTGTATTTTATTCGCTAGTAAGGCTTAAAATATAAGGGGCGTTAAAAAGCCCGATGTTAAATCTTAAAAGGATAAAATATTACTTCCTTTGGTTTTTATAAAGCCGAAATTAAATTAATAAAATATAGGTAAAAAACTTATTTAATATAAAACTAAATTAAAAGATAAAGTTATTAAAAAAGAAGCTTAAAAAGGTATTAAAGTTAAATATTATATCTATTTATTTTAAAAAAAACTTATCAAATAAAGTTTAAACGAAGCTATTAAAATATTTAAAATAATAATATAACGGGTAAAATCTTAAAATAATAAATCTTTTAATTATTAATAAAAACGAAAAATTAACGATAAAATATAATATTAAATAAATATTAAAATTAATTAAAAAACTTACTAAAATAGCGGAAAGCTTATTGCATTTTTTATTAATTCTATTATTTTTTAACGAGTATAAATTTAAAGAATGGAAAAAATTAATACGTTAATATTACTAATATTATGGATTTAATGGATTTATTAATAATATATAATAAACGTTTTTATAAGGAGTATTTAATAAAGTGAAACGAAAATATCGTAAGGAAAAAATTTATTATATAACTTTATTAATAAGTTTATTATATATAAGTATTAAAAGGTTTTAAATATAGGTAAAATATTTACGATATATCTTTTTTAAGGCTATAAGTATGTAATAAATAAAGGGATAATATGTATAAAATAATAAATAATAATTAAGATAAATTTTAAACTTTATTATAATTAATATATTATTATTATTATTTTATTTATATTTTATTTACTTTTATAATAACACTTCCTTTTATTAAATAAAAGATTTAAGTAAAACGATAATATTTTTAACTTTAAGTTTTATTTAATATAAGATTATTACGATATTAGTAATTAATAAACGACGATTTTTATTAAACGTTTAAAATAAGTTAATTTATAAGTTTAAATTTAATTAAATTAACTTTATAATTACTAGTTAAAAGTGTAAATTTCTTATAAAAGTTTATAATTAAAATATAATAAAAGGTTAAAAACTAATAAAAAGAATATAAAAAAAAGATATAAAAATTAAAGAATTATTATTTTTATAAGTAAAACGTTATAAACGAAAACTTTAAAAAAGTTTTAAAGGAGTTATTAATTAAGCTTAAAAACGAGTTTATTAAAAGTAAAAAGAAAGCCTTTTAATTTAATAATAATAATAATGTTAATATAATTTATGTTAAGTTTTATCGATTAATTTCACTAATTAAAAATAATAAAAAAGTATCTTTTATAACGTTTAAACGGAAATTAACTTTAATGGTTAATTTTTTATTATTTAATTATAATATTACTAATATAAATTAAAAAGATTTTATTAATTATTTTAAATAAGATAATATATTAAATGATTAGTTTTTACCTTTTAACCGTTTTAATACTTATAAGCCGATTAATTTTTTTACCTTTATCGGTTAAGTTAATAATTAATCCCGATATTTTCCCTTTTTATTAATGGGATATTTAAATATTTTCCCTTCTTCACGACGACGATTTTTAATCCGTTTTTACTTATTATTATAATTTAAGTAAGAGTTTATAAATTATAAACTAATAAAGAAAAGTAAAAGTAAAGGTAAAAAAAGGGATAATAACGATTATAATAATAATATTAATTTTCTTAAGTGGAAGTATTTTAATTTTATTATTAATAAAAATAATTATTTAAAAGAAGTTTTTAATTAACTCGTATATAAAGATACCTTAATATTAACTTTAAAGATAATTAAATATATTAAAGGTATAGGTTTTTTAAAGTATAATAAGATGTGGATTATATTTATTATTTATAAAATTTATAAATATAAACCATTAAATTTTATTATTAAAATTAAGTTAAGCATTAAAATGTTTTAAATTTTTATTAAATCTTAAGTTTTAATTAAATAGTTTTATTAAAGAAAATTATGGAAAAATTTAATTAAAATAAAATACGATGGTAAGAATTCTTTTATTTTTATTATAAAATGGCAAACTTAAATCTAATAATGTAAAAATGTTAAGTTTTTTATTAACTAAAAATAATAAATTATAATGTTTTTTATTACTTGCAAAAAGAAAGTAAGTAATTAAGTTAAATTTATTTTAAAATTTATTAAGTTAATTTGGATAACTATTAACCATTTAATTAAGGATTTTAATAATGAATTTTATGATAAGATTTAATTTAAAAACGAGACTAATAACACTTATAACATTAAAAAAAAAGGTTATAAATATAAACATAGCTGCGATAAAAGAAATAAATAAAGCGGAAATTATAATATTATTAATAA